ATTCAAAAAATATTGTATTTCAGTGAATTATAACCTAAACCTAAACGATTTATTTTAATATAAATATTTATGACTAATTTAATGACTCAAATTGTTCCAAAAATTTTTATTTAAGAACTTTCGAGAAAAGGTAAAGTTTAACTACTTAATAATTGGACTATATGCAATAAAAAAAGAGATTAAAAAGGAAAAAGAAAAAAGTGAATCGTTCCAAATGATGTAACTGTATTAAAAACATAATATAAGATCGTAAAGGACATTAGCTTTTTCAACAATATTAATTCTTTATGTGTCGACAAAACCCATTTGAAAATAATAAAAAAGTCACATGGTGCATATTAGTTTTTTTTTAAAAAAATATTTTTAAATAGAAAATTAATTATTTAATTGAAGATTTTAGAAGAATCATGATCACCAACTTTATTTACCAATAATTAAGACATAATAAGTGTGTGTATATATTAGTTGAAAATGACATTGTTTGATATTTATGTCAAATTGTCAATCATAATAATCCTTTTGGAAATTTGATAACTAATGAAGTTATTTCTGACTGATTTATAAATTATAATTTGAATTGTGAAAATAGTCATAAGAATTTCTATATTAATATGAACTATTTATATTACTATCTTTTATGATGCAGCTTTTTTTTTTGAAAATCTATAAATATTTGAATGAGTAGTTTTTTTTCTCATTTAATGCAATAAAGTCCAACTCAAAAAATAGTATGATTTTTAGTTGTTTTATTGGAATAATGTGTGACTAATATTTTGAATTGATTGACAAATGCATAAAATCTAGACTTTGATTGGATCATTAATTTTTTAAAACTTATTAAAATTATATTTGATTTCTTGCCTCTAAGAGTGTGCTGAAATCAATTGACTCAAAGTTTCAAACATCAAATTAAATTATTGATTTTTTTTAAAATCAAACTAAAGTTTACGAAGTGGGGTGTTTCAACCTCAATTTCTTTTCATTTTTTTGATTTTCTCGGGTATTTTTACAGTAAAATCCTCCGGCAAACATATAATTACCTTGTGATTCGAATGATGCACTAGTTAATCATAGTAGAACTAATCATTCTTTAGTATAATTTTTTTACAGAATATAAATATTGTCTTTACGCTGATCATGAATTTTTATTTTTAATTTTATTTTAAAATTGTTATCTCAAGTTATATATTTAAATCACAATTTGAAAATTATAACTTTATATCGTGTACCCATACACAAGATTTATGTTTAGATTTTTTTTTTCACATAAAAGAAGAGAATATAATGATGATAAAGAAAAATTAAAATGTTAAAAATGTTGTTTTGGTCAATAAAAGGTCCACAAGAGTGAATGATTGTTTGGTGTACTATTGCTATTGCCATTATAAGTTTGAACAACCAATTTGCTTTCTTTTAGTGGATTTCTGTCAGAATACTGAGTTGTTACACTAGGAATGGTGTACACTTGCAACAATAAAAGGATCTCAAATTTATTTTAAATCGAACATTAATTAATTTGACTCTCATATTTCGAATCAAACCAATTTTTTTGAGTACTCACGAAGTTCAAAGTTTAATGGTTGAGATTTTCTTACTCTTCTTCTTGATGATACGGCTTCAAGATCTGTTCATATCGTGTCTATTCATCAGGCTTTATACGTTTTCTCTATAGAGTTAAAACTATCTGAAACTCAAATTAAAAAGGCATATAGAGATGTGAATTCCTTTATTTATAATTAAGTAATATACCATCCCTTACTAAACATATATAATGTGATTCTGAAGTAACGAGGCTTGTAACTTTTTATATTGAATGGTTAATCGAAAACAAAATAAAAATTGCATAGTACAACACTCCAACAAAACTAACAATAAAAAATAATCCTAATTATTATTTTATTTTATTTTAAGCAAATTTTAGGCAATATACAACATATAATCATAGTGTATATAACATTACATATTTTAATTATATACACTGAGTATACACCAATAACAAGTACAATTATGCTCATAGAATTCTATTTATTATTAACTGTGTGATAGGGAAATTTATTCTTCCCACATGATTTGTAAAATTTTTGTTTTGATTTTTTTTATTCATTTCCAATTTATTTATTTATTTTTCTTTTTATGGTCATCCAATCTTTTAATGAGCCAACCCTTATTTACACTTTACAACAAATAGTACCATTTAGATTTTCATTTTTGTGTAGATGGAAGTTGGAGGTCTTTCTACTACCCAAACGTGCACAAATTTATGACTCGTGAAGTGACATATATTCCCCATTTACTCAATTTAATCGAAGATAAATACTCTCCCATTCTTAATTAGAAATTTTGAATTTATTTTTAATATGGAAGTCACGCTTTTGTTTAGAAGCGTTTTACCTTTAATATGAAACACATTTCTGCGTGAACCCAGATTAGTTAGACCATAAGACAAGTATAGAACGAGAAACAAAAATATATGTCTTCATTAGTGCATTATCATATTCCTTTATAAAAGATTATTGTGCATGAATCTGAATTAGATTAGACCCGAATATAATTATCAGACATCGATCGAAAATCCAAAAAATGAAAAACTCTTTTTAAGGCCAACATGTTTGTTGTGTGTAAGTTGTGACATTTGTATCTTGTGTATAATTCAATGCATACAACAGAGAGGATAAAAAAAAAAGTACTATCCAAACTTAGAGATCATGAGGCTACCTAGCTAGGGTGGTCATGGTTGGATAAATTTAGAAATCATATTACTATATTATTTAATAGCTAATAAATACTATAAAAGAAAAAGAGAGAGAAGAATTAGTGACAAACAAATTCTATAGCTAAATAATATTTGTCACTAAGTCAATTTAGCAATGGATTATCAAGTTTTTTTTGTTAATTACATATTATTTAGTGACAAATCTTTTATAGTTAATTCCTATTTTTTATATATAAAAAAATATTAATCCTATATAGTAGTAGTATCCTAAATTTAGGAGGGTATGATGCATAAAGTATATTGTATTTATAGAGTTCGGTGAAGGGTCGGACTTCAAGAGGTGTGATGGAAATAGCTTATTCTAATCTCGTTTTCTTTAATTTATACATAGTAAATAAGTAATCCTTTAAGGAAGGGATGGGGGATTCCAAGGAAGCTATAATCGAGAAATAGCGTTTGCAGGTAACTTTTCGATCATGTCTTTGAAAAATAGTTACTATCACGTGGTTTTAAATATTGGGGGCCGATTTCCAAGACAATCTCATGGAGCTTCACCCGTAAATTTAGAAATTTCACAACACTTATCTATTTTTCAATTACAAGGACCGAAAAATGGTTATTTGTGAATTTTTCCGATGAGAGTAAGGTAAACGTTAAAACGTGAAGATTTTGTTTGACGGGCTTTAAGAGTTATTATACTGGGCCTACAATTTTTTAGTGGACTACTACAAGTGAGGCCCAGTGAGAAATTTACTTTGGATAAGATAGAAATGGCCCATTTATATGGGCCTTGATCTATTAGGCCCACTTAAAAGTTTTAATAGAAATTGATCTAAATATTATTAAGCTTAACGTCGATGGTGCTTACGATAATATCACTCTAAAATAAAGACAAACGATAAAGACAACTCGATACATGGTTACTCCAAATACCTAACCTAAGAGAAATTTAATCGAAAAATTTTATTACTTTTTAGATATTATATATATATATAAAACTTAAAGATTCTGAATCAATCAAATTTCCTCCATATCCTCTATGCACTTTATCGTAGCGCTTTGTTGCAATAAGTGTATTTATAAAGTCAACAAAAAATTGATTACGTTAAAGGCTAGAAGATTAATGACCAAATTAAAATACACACATGAATATTGAGTCGAACCTAACAAATATAAATATATGCAAAATTTCATAATCATATATTGGGTGGTCCATAGGACATAAAACATTGGAATATCTTACGAAATCTAAGATGTCTTTCATGTCTATTAATTCTGTCACTTTACTATGACTTAAGATAATCGACAGATTATTGGCACTAACAACTTAAAAGAACACTATTTGTCCATTCAAAAATGTAGAGTGATGATTCGTTTAAATATTTTGATTGAATCAATAAAAAAAATTAATTAATACCTATTCCCAATATTATAATGAAAATTTGTGTCTCAAACATTTGGAAAAAATTAGCTTCTGCACTATGTAGTCTATAAAAACATGTAGAATTTGTTACACCATCAAGTAAAACTAATATATAGTAAGAGTAATATGTTTTGATATAATAAATTAAACTTGACACAATAACCTAAAAGATATTATTGATATAACTTTTTTTAGACTTGTGAGAATATTTTTATAACACCATAAACATTATGATAGGTTTAACATTGCTATAAATTTCAAAACTTTTTAACAATTTGCCACGTGTATGATTATTACATGACATATTTAAGATCATAAGATATATATATGGGGCTAACTAACAAGTATAATTACAATTTGCAATTAATGTTGATTCAACTCAGACATGAGAAACACATATAATATATAAGATATATATATAATAATTTCATTGATAATCTTGCCATCCCCTTATTACATAGAATATTGAAATAAACACCCCAAAATGAAAAGGAAAAAAAAACACCATCACCCACAAGATACTTAGACTTGAAAAAAAGAAGAAGAGCAAAATGATATATAGTATTATGCCTTGAGAAGAAAAGTACAAGGCAAATACATATATGAGTCACAACAAACACTAGTAAATAAATATATTTACAATGATTCTTCCCTTTCCCACAAGAAAAAAGATTTTTTAAAAAAGACACCCCATAATTCTATTTTTTTTTCCTCCATAAAATGATAGAATAAGCATATTGTGAGCATGCATAAATTGTGACAAAGAAAGAGAAGTTGACAAGGAAATTTCACACTAAAAAACAAAAGAGAGACAAAGAGCATGTAATCAAAATACTTCACCATATTTCTATTCTTATAATGTTTCTCTCTTCACTAAAAAGATCCTTCTCTTCAATTTTTCTTTCTCAAGGGTTTTCTTGTTTGAGTTGATCAACTCTTGATGGACATGACATAGACATGAGCCAATTGATTAAGACACTTTTGGACCCCCCCCCCCACCCACCACCACCCAAAAAACAATGCCTCTACATTTTTTTTATAATTCAGAAATCCCCGACAGTCAATAATGCACGACTCAAAAATAAGGAATGCAGAATTCACTCTCGACATTTCTTCATTCAAATACCAGACTTTTGATAAACATGACACGAGGAAATCAAACACTTTTTGGACACAACACAAAAAGAAAACCACTATGCACCAACCCTAACATATTATATTTTTTTTTATAATAATCGAGAAATCAAACCTCCAAGAGTCAAATAACACCCTATATCAAAATACACCGATACTAAATTTGACCCTCTATAGATACTTCTCCACTTAAATACCTGAATTTCGAGTTTTATCTATGATAGGGTTTTCCAATATGCAACTCACACATCATACAATTAACCCAAAACCCTAGACACCACCAACTCTCTACATTATACTGCCCAAATAAGATGGACAAAAAACAAAAACCACACACCCCAAAAAAAAACAAAAACAAACACACATAAAAAGGGAAAAGAAGTAATTTAAGAAAGGATGTTGATATTGTTAGTTCTTTGTCTCTTAACACTTGTAGAAGCAGAATCATCACCACTTGATTTCTCCATCACAGCTTTAAGTGCTTCTTGTATTGAACTTATACAATACTGTGGTTGTTGTTGTTGTTGTTGCTGCATCATCTCAGTATCTTCATCGTCTCCACTTATACACGTATCTACCTCTCGATTATTATTATTATTACAATAATAATCGTCTCCAGTTATAAACAACACATTTCTAACACGTCCACCAAGTGTTGTAATTTCAGCTTTTAATGTTTTTAACCTTAGTGCTTTCAATGTCTTGATTAAATCAGGCAAAAGATCAGATCTATCTTCACAACACAAAGAGGCCTTTATTATAAACTTACCATCTTCATCAGATGTTGCATTATCAACTGTTAATTCATCAATTTCAGTTGGGACAAGACTTGTCTCTGATATTAAGGATGTTTGTCTTTTTAACTCTTTCACATGTTGTATCACTTCTGCTAGCAATGAAGCTTTGTCTGTCTATTAACATAAACAAAAAAAACAACGTAACGTTAGCTATCAGGTCATCTAAATGATAACTTTGTTCATATATAACACTAGTTATCAGGTCATATGAATGATAACTAGAGATAATCGTTCATTCATAAAATATCTAAGTTAAGATCAATGATATGAAGAATTATACAATATTAACACTAGCTATAATCGTCATCTGAATGATAACTATAGATAATCGTTTGTTTCATAAAATATATAAGTTGGGATCAAGGATATGAAAAATTAGACATATCAAATTACCTAAGCGATAACTAAACCACACACCTATGTATAAGTTGAAAAAATATTAAGAATATGGGTTTTCTTTAATTCAATTTATCATATTATTTTTGTTGCTACGTATTCTTTTTTTAATCGTTTTCAATATAATTTTTTTTGCTACTACATTTATTTGATGTATTGAACTATTGATACTCTTATTTAAGTCAAGAAATCGTTCAGAAAGAAACTCTATATTTTTATATTACTCACATTATAATCTATCAATAAAATTATATAAAATAAATTATTATTAATATTTTTTGGGGTTTGTAAACTTTATATGATTGATCATTAAATTGAGGATTTTTAGGGTGGGGTTTTTTGAGGACTAGGCATGAAGTACATAGAGTTTTTTATTTTTTTAAAAAAAATGGTATACATGACTGACAAAAATGCTTGTTTGTCTCATTTAAATTAATTCTTTTAAAATAATATATATTTTCTTTCTTGTTGATTTTATTTTTTTTAACAACTACTTTATTTTTTTTGGGTAATGTAAATTTAATAACCGGCAAGAATTTTCTATGGAAGCTTTTGAACTGCTTGGTGGTTTCTCTTTTTCATGTCAAATTTGCGACATTAACGCTTTGTTCCAACTTTCCTTGGAACTAGCACTAAACATCTCTCGGTTTTAATCTACTTGTCTAATTTTAATTTAATACGAAATTAAAAAAAACATACATAGAATACATTCAAATTATTATTTAATTTAATAATTTTTTAACGTGTAGTGTAAAAAACGATAAAAGAAATCACATATCTTTAATCAGTCTAAAATATGTATATGACAAACAACTTGAAACGAAACGAATACTAATTGAAGAAAAAATAGAAAAGGGTGTTTCACTTTTTTGGTACTTCTAGCTATAGCTATGTATTACACACTTCACACTCATTTGGTGTTGCTAGGTTTTGTATTATCTACGTATACTTTTTACTTTCTAGTCATGAAAGAATCCAAAATAAAATCTTTTGAAGATCTAAAATCAAAGAGTATAAATTATATATATCATTATCGTCAATTTATTTTTTTCTGTTATAACAGATAAATCAATCTTTAAAGGTTACATAATTTCGTTTCATGGTTTTCAAAGTGCTAAAACCAAAAGAATTTCAAGTCATATAAATCGTCCATACAAGGAGTTTTTATATCACTAATAAATAACTTCTCTTAATTTTAAAATTATAAAAAAATTCTTGTTAATCATTTCAAATAAACTCAATCCATAAATATCATTTAAATAATTTAATAATATAAAAAAATTTCTTACACGATATATATATACCTAAATACACCTAAAATAAAACAAAACAAAGCAATAACACATCACATTTAAGAGTTTAGGTTATATACTTATATACACAAACAATATTAAACAAAAATAAACTTACACATTCAAATTATCATATCAATCTTGCTACGAAGAGTTATATTACCTCTTAATCATTACTATAAGTGATATTCTCAACACTAACCCTAATATAGAGTCATATTATAGGTGATCATCAACAACATATCCAGTATAATTATTTCATCATCATCGATTGATATAATGTTATGATTGTCTGCGCACATAACATAAACTCTTATAAGCATACAATTAAGTAGACTTACTTTAGTAGTATTAGGAAGAAGGCTTCTCAATTTAGCAAGATGATTATTGATTCTTTCTCTACGTCTTCTCTCAGCTTCACTATGGCTTTTAGATGCAGCCAATGCCTTAGCATCCATTATTTCTTGTGCACTCATTTTTTGTAACTCAGCTTGTAAACCAAAAGGTGCTATTGAGCCGGGTTGATTATGATGATGATGATGATGAACCACTTGACCTACTAAACTATCTGAGATGAACCGGAGGTGTTGTTGATCTGTGTTAGTGTTACGATTAAATAAACCGTAAGCCGATGGTGATGGAGGGAGGAGAAATGACTGATCATGGTGGTGAACCGGGTTCATAAATGGTTGAACCGGTGGAATTGACCATGGTAACATTTCTGAGTTGCTTTGGAAGTGAACCGGGTTCATGAAACTTTGTGGATGCATACCTATAGTAAATTCAGAACTATTATAGTAATTAAACATATATATAATAATAAGTAACAAATTTTCTAATCGATATACATAGATTATATACTGAATATGATTACACGAGTGAAACAATAGTATGTTTGAAGAAGTTTAGGTTTAGCTTGTTTATATAAACAAAAGTAATTAGTCAGATTTACTGTTTATTTTTTCTGGTCAATATATATAGATCATACATCAAATATGTTTTTTTTTAAGAATAAAACATTTGATAATCATCATATGTATAAGTATATATATGTTGAATGAAAAAATATAAATATATTACAAAGTTGGATTTTGTGTGACAAAAGGAATTTTTTCATAAAACACAAAAAGGGGTAAGTAAAAGACAGACCTTTGCTTTGCTTTGATGTAGAATAGTGAAGAACTAAGATTTATTTTTATTTTTTTGGTTTGTTTTGAGAGAGAAAAGAAAAGTTCTTTTTTTTTTTAGGTTTGAGATTTCAACTTGTATTGAATGGCAATGGAAGTGACCCTTTTTATCCTTAGCATCAACTAGCTTTTTTCAAATCTCTTTTGTGGCTTTGTTGGTATCTTTTTGTATTTATTATTTATTTTTAAAAAAAAATTAAAAATGGACCCAACTTTTTATTTATTTTTTATATTTTAATGTCCACTTCTGACAATTTTTTTAATTTTTTTTATTATATATAGAGAAGGGGTATGTAAAAGTACTGGCAGTGTTGTTTCCTTTCTCTTTACGGCATTCTTTTTTTCTCTTTCAACTATATATTATATCTATTTATATACCTATCACACACTAACTAGTTAATTCTCTCACTCATGTTTGTTCACTTTGGATTTTTGTTTTATTTATTTTATTAGATATAACTTCGTCCGTCTTAATTTATGTGATATTATTTATCTGGTTAAAATAAATGTAATAATCAAACCCTAAAAACTAGCTAAATAACAACGGCGTGCCAACTCAAGTAGCGATGATTATCCAACACGTCGTATTAAAGAGATCATCGATTCATTTTCTTAAAGGGCGGAAGCGAGACTCTTCACACAAGCTCCACATCTGATGTGTGAACAATTTAACTTAAGAATTTAAATCGAAAGTGAAAATTTAGATGGGCTCTATTCTGATATCATAATAAAAAAATAAATTTTGAATTTAACATAACTTTAAAAGCTAATTCAAAAGGTGAGAATTGTCCCTATTATATATATTATTAGTATAATATATTTTCATAAAAGTAGTAGTAAAATTATTCTTTATTTTCCCTATGAACAATATAAGTATTATTATTTACTACATGGTTCAAAGTAATATAATTATTAGAGTGTATGTTACTTGCAACAAAAAGAAACACTGTGAAGGCAAAACACACGGATTGTCGACCGACCAAACACAATTTTAATAATAATTAGAAGTTTAGCTTATTCATCACAAAAGTAAATTAATACTACTTCTTTACACTATAAAAATAAATAAATAATCATCAATTTAATTTTTTTAGCAATTATGGATATAACATGACAATATACATACCATCCGTTCACATTTTAAGAGTTCATTTCGTACTAATTTTGTTATACATCAACTTTAATCACAATTACATACGAATTTAAAATTTAAAGCTATGTAATTCAAAGTTTAAAATTTTAAAAATTGATCTTAAAATCTACGTTTAAACGCTAACGAATTATGTTTTTACTTTTTGGTTCATGAGATATAAAAAGTTAGGGTATTTTTAGGGTTAGTTAGGTTAAGATATAGTATTATTATTCTCTCATATACATATAGTATAGAGTAGCTATTTTCCACGCCAAACCTTTCTGCTTCCCCAAGACCCTTGTAATCATTGTGTCTTGGAACACACTCCACCCCCCACCCCCACCCCTCATAGTGGGGGTGGGTGGGGAGGGTAGGTAGGGGGGTAGTGTAATATAATTGGTCATTTTTGCAAACTACATATTGATGAGTTTGTCTTCACATGATATATTATTCCTCCTCGATTTCAGTTGCATCTATTCATACTTAATTCATTTGGGGGGAGGGGCTAATTAGTCTTTTGGTAATTGGTAACTTTTTTTATTTTAATTTACGTGGTACGGTTGAAATTTCGAGAGTCAGATAAATTTTCTCGAATTGAAATTTTTCTATGTGTTTTTAGTTAATTATTATGATGTATAATACTTTTAACGTAGTTTACAGATATATATAAAAAATAAAAAAAAAGTTTGAAGTTTTATGTCTGAGATCACTATTATAAGTTGAAAGTTAATTTGAATCTCGAAATTTATGACGTATAAATTGGAATAGAAGGAATGGTTCGATAGAGTGTTGAAATTGATAATGAAAAGGTGTTTGATAAATATTTTTTATCTTTTTGTATTGTGAAAAAAAAATTATCAGCGAAAAGCAAAAACTTAATTTCTTTGAGCGAATTTTTTACTGGATTAATGTTGAAATAAGAGAAAATATATCTTGATATTTTCAATCATTCTTCCTCATATTTGCGTATAAATGAATAATGACAAAGTTAAATAGGATCATAAGTTAAAAGTGATTAAGTTATTATCTTTAATTAATTTTATTTACAAGCACTTTTAATATTTATACCAAACTTCTAGATTAACTCAAGGATACCTTTTTTTTCTCTCTCTAATCTAATGGTTGGGAATTAGCAACAGATTTCCCACTATAGTTAAAGCAATAGTACTAATATTAGGCTACCACAATTTTAATTATTTATAATTTAATTATGAAATATTTAAATTGTCAAGTTGTTGCTGACATAAGTTGTAAATTCTAAAATGTTGTCTCTATTAACTTTGTGAGGTTTGGTGTGATTCTACACTGACATCATGTTGCATTATGCTTGGTTTTCTATTATTCAAAGATTAATTAATCAATTATTTATATCATCTAATTCCACCAATAGTTTTTCCTAGGGTATTAATTAAGCAAAAATTTCTTTTGTGTTTTTTTGATAAATGGGAAGATCAACCCTTTATATGGATTGAATATAACAACATATATATATATATATATATATATATATATATATATATATATATATATATATATATATATATATATATATATATATATATAT